CTTCAAGAGCGCGAACCCATTAATCTGCTCGGCGGAAGAAACAGGGTCGGAACCGAAAGAAGCGCAATCAGAATGAAACCAACGGGTCATGTCGAATCCCCGCCCATCTCTGCTCACAAAACCCAACCTCAGTGCCTTTGCAGGAATGGTTTTGGAGCAGTTCTTGCATGTGGAACGATTCGACTTGGCGTACTCCGCAACAATTTTTACAGCAGATGTAGACATTGTTGGACCTTGAAAGAAAATACGGCGACTGTGAGAAGAGAAACGAGAGAAATGGCTCAGTGGGGAGTTGGGAATTTGAAGGAGGGAAGAAAGTATGTGGTTGTTACAGTAGGTCATATGACTGGTACGGACTGTGGAAACGATCGGCGTACGGACGGGGTTGATCGCACAAGGTAGAAGACGACGAGCGACGAAATTCTCCTTCCCAATTTTCTTAAACAAAGTTTAAGAACATTTAATATATATATATATATATATATATATATATATATATATATATATATATATATAATATATATATACACACACGCGGATTTCACATAAATCCTGCTGTGTTTGGCCAAAAGGATCATATTAACCTATTGTGATTTATAATCGGAGAGAATGAGACAAAAGCGATGATCCCCAACCTCCATTACTCTTGATTGATTTCGTCATCTTTCCACCAATGAATCCTTACTCCGAGGAAAGACTCACCGAAGAGGTTCTCTATCTCCACTCTCTGTGGCGGCGAGGTCCGCCGAGGGGCCCTAAGCCCACTCGCTATTATTTATCCACCGCCGTCGCCGCTGCTACGAATAAGAGACCCAGAGACCCGAAGAATCGAAGGCAAAAGAAGAAGAAGTCACGCCCCGAGCCATTACAAGACACCGGCCCCGAATGGCCCTTCCCGGAGCCAGTTCAAAATCAGCCCTTGACGTCATCTGGGTGGCCGCCGATGCCCTGTGCTACTCCGGCGGCTCGGCTGGTGTCGTCTGAAGAGCGAGCAAATCGTGTGGCGTTGCAATTGCAGTACAATGGTATCGAGGCTTGCCGGAGATTTCTCACTAGAAATGCCGATTCTGGGAGTGATGAAGAGGTGGAGGAGGAAGAGGGGAATGATGGGGAGATTATGGAAAGTGAAGAGTATAAATTCTTTTTGAATCTGTTTATGGAGAATGACGAACTTAGGGGCTATTACGAGAAGAATTCTGAAGATGGGTTGTTTTGCTGCTTGGTTTGTGGTGGAATGGGGAAGAAGAAGTCTGGGAAAAGGTTTAAGAACTGCATTGGGCTTGTTCATCATTCGAATTCGATATCCAGGACGAAGAAGAAGGTGGCTCATAGGGCTTTTGGACAGGCCATATGCAGGGTTTTTGGTTGGGATATTGATCGACTTCCGACCATTGTGTTGAATGGCGAGCCTCTCAGTCGATCATTAGCCCATTCTGGAGATTTCAAGGTACTTCACTGGTCTGCTCATATGTTTAAAGTTCAACTCCTTTATAATGGCATTCAATACAAAATTGCTTTCGATTATAATGTATTGTAGGATCAGCCAGAGGAAGATCAGGTGGCTGAAGAACATGATTCTTGGGTTCAGATTGAAAATGTAGCCATTTCAAATGATGATATTGATATGAAGAATGAACAGAAATGGGAGGAAGAAAAGACAGCTGAAGAATCGATTTCTGGCGAGGTTAGTTCATGTACTTCCTTTATATGAATCAGTTGAGGTGTTCTTGATGATCATGCAATTGTCTTGTCTTATGTTCATTAGAAAACGATGATTCCTCGGCAGTCGTAACCAAATGCCGAAAACGTGTAGTTTCTGCTGATGAGCTGATACAGTTGAATGTGTTGCAGGTACCCGAGTCGATTATGGAAGCATGTGAAGAATTTTTTGCTGCCTTCTTGACATCTATGGCTGACGACGATGTTAGCGAAAACAACGCAATCGAGGAATGCGAAGAGTTCAAATTCTTTTTAAAGCTGTTTATTGAGAATGAAAGCTTGAGAAGATATTACAAGAACAAGTATGATGATGGAGAGTTTTCCTGTTTAGTTTGTAAAGGAGCAGGAAAGAAAACGTTGAGGAGTTTTAAGACGTGCGTTCGCCTTCTCCGACATACAACTTATACTGGGAAGAACAAAACAGGGAATAAACGGGTTAAGCCTCACATTGCTAAGATGTTGAAAATTAAGATGCTGGCTCATAGAGCATATAGTTTAGTTATATGCCAGGTTCTTGGTTGGGACATAGAAAAGCTTCCTGCAATCGTGTTAAAAGGCGAAGGCCATGGTTGTTCGTTAACGAAGCTAGACGTGTTGAAAGTATGCTAAGTCATTTGATCAATCTCTTCCTATGCTCGAACTTCCGTGTTCTTGATTCATACTAACAATGCTGGAATTGCAGGACGACCCAGTTGGCAATGCAGGTGATAATACGAACGAAGTAGATGATCCTGTGAAAGATGACTCTACTGAGATCGACTAAGTCCACAACCAATCCGCCGGATGATACCGGAGAAGATGACTCGAAAAAGGTTAGTGAATTGCAGGGTGAATCTGTTGGTAATATGAATGAACTGTTCTTGTTCTTGTTGTTTCCGTGTTAGACTGGTAGATGAAGGTTTTGTGGGATTTTGAGTGTGAGATATGATATTTAGGCCTATTCAAAAGAAGCCCAGTTTGCTCCCATTTTCTCCCCCCATGCCCTTCATTCTATTGGGTTCTCATGAATCTTGAAGTACGGTTGGGATGGAAAGAATAGGTTGTTGATAGATGCAAAGCTAGGAGTCTCATGTTGGTTTCTCATGGTCACCTTTAAAATTTCAATTCGTTTATATGACTTCATATCCTACTAGGAGAGATTTTCATACCCTTATAAAAAATGTTTCGTTCCCCTCTCCAAATGACGTGGGACCTCACAATCCCACTCCCCTTGGAGCTCAACGTCCTTACTGGTATATTGCCCAATGTGTGGCTCTAATATCATTTGTAACAGTCTAAACCCACCGAGTAGATATTGTCCATTTGGTGTCAGTCTCATGATTTTAAAACATGTCTACTAAGGAGAGGTTCCACACCCTTATAAGAAATGTTTTGTTCCCCTCTCCAACCGATGTGGGACCTCATAATCCACCCCTCTTGGGACTCAACGTCCTTGTTGGCACACTGCCGGGTGTCTGGCTGCGATACCATTTGTAACAGCCTAAGCTTGCCGCTAGTAGATATTGTCTGTTCTGGCTTCAGCATCACGGTTTTAAAATGTGTCTATTAGGGAGAGGTTTCCACACCTTTATAAGTAAAGCTTTGTTCCCCTCTCCAACTGATATGAGACCTCATAATCCACCTCCTTGGAGCTCAACGTCCTCATTGGCTCACTGCACAGTGTGTGACTCTGATACCATTTTTAGCAGTCCAAGCCCACTGCTAGCATATTTTGTCCGCTTTGGCGTCAGCCTCACGGTTTTAAAGCGTGACTATTAGGGAGAGTGTGAATGTTTGATTAATCCACCACACCTAAATGGTGTGAAAGTTATCTTATTTATAATCAAATCAATTACAAGGATATGGAAATAACAATAAATGGAAAGATACATATGATAATAGGCAAATATTAGATATTTGCCTTATAATAAAATATAAAATATAATATATATATGGTAAACTATAATTTATTACTAAATATCCTTAACAGAGAGGTTTTCACACCCTTGTAAGAAATACTTTGTTCCTCTCTCCAAGCGATGTGGGACCTCACAATCCACCTTTTTTGGGGCCCAACATCCTCGCTGGCTCACCTCTCAGCGTCTGTCTTTGATACCATTTGTAATAGCCCAAGCCCACTTCTAACAGATATTGTCTGGTTTGGCTGGTAATGTATTGTCATCAGCTTTTAAAACGCGTCTACTAGGGAGAGGTTTCCACACCCTTATAAGAAATGCTTAGTTCCTCTCTCCAACCAACGTGGGACCTCACAATCCACCTTTCTTGGGGCCCAGCATCCTCGCTAGCTCACCTCTCGGTGTCTGGCTCTGATGCCATTCGTAACTAATCCAAGCCCACTACCAATAGATATTGTCTGTTTTAGCCCGTAACGTATCGCCGTCAGCCTCACAGTTTTAAAACGCGTCTACTAGAGAAAGGTTTTCACACCCTTATAAGAAACGCTTTGCTCCCCTCTCCAACCAACATGGGACTTTACAGAACTAATCACATGAATAATACTACATAAGAAGCCGCCATGTTTGCCATCTCACTAAGAACGATAACGTTAAATTCCCTATACTATGAACATTTCAATCGATTCATTGAATAATTGTATCATATCAACTTTCAATACTCAACTCTACAATGGAGATCACCATAATTAACACACCTCGTCTCTGCAGGTTTTGGCTTGGCCCCGAGCTCGTTAGAATCAAGTGGCTCTCTCATGGCGACTGAAGATGATGAGAGGAGCAGGGCAAGGATGATTCACAACGTAATAGGGAGGAGAGTTTCAGCTTCTTTCATTTCTAATTTTCTTTTCAAGTTCATTTCATTTATATCGAGTCGAATGAAATTATATGAATTTCGAACAAATTTAGATTGAAATTCATCGACTCCTGTTAATTTATGGTCAAAATTCATGAATCCCGACCACATTTCATTCCGAATTCATGAATCCCAACCATTTTCGACGCATATTTATAAATTTTGATCGAGATTATGGTTGTGATAAGTATCTTGACGGAGACGCGAAACATTATTTTAACTTCAAATGGGTTTCAAATTTAATAATTTATAATTCTTGTGATTAGTCAAATTTTTTTCATTTAATAATAATTTTTATAATAACTTAATTATTACACAAAAAATATTATTATTATTATTATTTTATCATTTTTTTTTTCAAATACAACCTTGACTATATAATTCTTATAAATAATTTTAAATTAAAAACTATTATTATTTAATAAGATACTTTTCATCATGAAAATTATTAAATTAATTATTTAATTAAAAAATATTTTCTAAAAATAATAATAATAATAATAAAAGGAAGAATCATTCCTATGTTTGGGAGCCAAAAACCGTTTTTTTAGAATCTGAAATAATATTATAATTTAGAGATTAAACGTCTCTGATTTTGCCTCGGCCATTAAAAGATAAACTAAAACCCTGTTCATGTGCAGCTGCCGATCAAGAACAGAACCCATCCAACCCCATGATTATGGACTGACCTCCACCGGCACCTCAGGTTGATTTCTTCTTCCATCCCCTTTTTTATTCTGCTGTTCGCTTTCTGTGAATGTTGCGTAAATATTCCATTTCGCAAAACAATGTGATTCTGCTGATCAAATTTGAGAATCTGCTCCTCGAATGGCTTAAATCTCTATATTTTCGCTCCATCTTCAGTTTGGTTCTATGATCGTTTAAGAACACTGAGAACTTCGAGGATTTTTTTTTTTTTTTTTAATTTTTTTCTAACAAAACTCTCATTCAATGAGTTGAAAGATTAGGAAATCATTCCTTGTTGTACTGTTCTTTGGTTCTAAGGATTATGAATCTTGCAGGTGAACAAAAATGGATTTGAAACATAAGGGTATATCATGGGTTGGAAACATGTTCCAAAAATTTGAAGCAGTGTGCCAGGAAGTGGATAATATTATAAATCAGGTTATCCTCGTTTCCTTCTCTTTTTTACGTTCTGTGATCCAACATTTTGACAATAGAGTTCATGTGGTAGCTTTCTTATTGGGTTGACTGTGTCACTGAATCGTTCATCTTTGTCGTGCAATTTAGTAATTTTTCGCTGAGGTTTGCTGTAGGAATAAACTGTTAAACTGATCTTATGCACAGGATAAGGTTGAATATGTTGAAAATCAGGTTAGTTCAGCAAGTGTTAATGTGAAGAGATTATACTCTGATGTTGTTCAAGGTTTACTTCCTCCCACAGAGGGTTCTGTGAAATATGAAGCTAAAGCAGTGGCTCCGAGGGGACGTGTTCCGATTAATACATATTTCAAGTCACTGTCATACAATGAAGAAAAATCTGCAAATAATGTTGCTAATAAATCATCTGTGGGGCATGGTACTATCAATCATCAAGCTTCTTGTAAAGTTCTCTTTGTAAATGAAGAAGTTGCTCGATTTCCTAATCATTCTTCTCTTCGGTTGAATGCTGGTCTGCATGAGAACAAAAAAGAAAACGCTGTTAATGAACTACTTTCGGAGAAAAGCGATGGCTCATTGACTGATAAGTTTGCCGTCATGGAGTCGGATGCTATTGATCCTTTGAGTCGATCACTGAGAAATGTAAGTCGTGAAGTTAATGATATTAATAAAAGTGGTTCTTCGGTTTGTGATGACTCCGATCTGCTATTGGTGGATAATGTACTCTTAGTAGGGAACAACAATGGGGCTTTGACAAATAACGATGCAAGTAAGAGTTCTAAAGAGGATACGACCATAGAGTTCAATGCTAGTGATCCGTTGAACCATACGGCTAATCATAAATCTTGTCAAGTTAAAGTTACAAATGGAGAAGAATTTTTTATTTTGGATAACTCTCATCTGCCAATGGAATCTTCCAGACTCTCGTCGAAGAACGACGACGACTTGTCAAATGAAAACACCGATGAGTTTGTAAAGAAGGTTGGGATCATGGAACCTAACGCTGCTGATCATTTGAACGACAAACATCTTAGTCATGTATGGAGCGGTACAAACTTCGTAAGTAAAGAAGCTGATAATTCTAATATGCTTTTGAAGTCCGAGGTACCTTCAAGCAGAATCGATCATGCCTTGATAGATAAAGATTTCAATGAGAGTCCTGTAAAGGATGCTATCTTTGAGGATGATCTTGAAAGTTATTTATTGAATCTTCCCAGTGAAGAAGCTATGGTTTCTAATGGAAACCATCTGCAAATGGAGCCTGAACTACTTGCTATAAACAATGATGATGCTTTGACAGATGCATACTCTAATGAACGTTTACAAAAGGATACCATTTTGGAGATGGAGTATGATGCAAGTTATCCTTTAAAGAACCAGCCAAGACGTATATCAAGCAGCGTAAAATATAAAAATGAAGAAGTTTCTTCAGTTTCAATAGATAAGGCATCAGATGCAAGTTGTAAAGAACAAGCCAATTTAGAATTATCAACTGAGTTAACTTTGCACTGTGATGAAGAGTCGATTAAGGGCAATTCGTGCATTTATGGTAATGAGCGTGAGGGGGATATCGCGACCTTAACTGGAAATCCACAGGAAACTTCGATTCATGGTGCTGATGTTGAATCCATCCATAAAGTAGGAGAACCTTCTAGCATCTCGTCGAACAATTTAGTTGACTTATCCCCTAGGATGGAGACACGTTTGAGGTACTTCGAAAATGTTCCACATGCTACTTCTTCTGAACTGGCTTCTGTAGTTTTAGCTAGTGGGGAAACTGTAAAAGAGACAAAGTCAGTCTCCTCTCTGAAACCGCTTCCGAAGGGTTCGTTATCTGCTTCTAGAAGTTCGGTCAACCACTTTTCTAGTAGCACCGTTCATGAAAAACCTGTTGATAAGCGTGCATACATTGAGTGTAGATCTCATCCATCTTTCGAAGTGGTCACTCATGCATCTAATGGAAACAAGGCTTCGGAGACGAGATTTAACTCCTCCGGAAGCTCCTTATCATCATTTGAATCACTTGGTCTGTACTCTTATCTTCTATCCTAGGATAAGTGTTTGTGTTTTCTTATGATTTTCTTAAACCATTCATGATTCAGCAGGAACTCATGCCAGTAGCCAGGTTGAGTTTTCCAAATCTACTGGTTCTGGGATTTTAAGTTTCTCTACTGAAGTAGGTATGTCCCAAAGCTTGTGTTCATACTATTTTGTAAATTCCCTGCTGTTATCTGTAATTATTATGATGTTGTGGTAGTTCAATCTGTTGGCTATGTAGAAAATCTTTCATTAGGAATAAAGCAACAATCTTAAAAACTTTTCTCAGGTTGTCCGTATGATTTGAGTGGCCATATTCTGGATTTTGAAATGGAAACAGTGGATTTGGGACATAAGGTGACCGTCGAAGACGAGTGTGGCGTTATTGACTATAAAGCTCTCCATGCTGTCTCTCGCCGAACCCAAAAGCTCCGTTCTTACAAGGTCCATATATTATCTAAAGTTACATATATGAGCTTCCTCTTGCAATGTTGAGTTTATTTAAGACCTGGAAACACCTCTCGTTCTTTAAGATGATAATGTTTACCGATAACTTTTACTGTCCGTTTCTGATCTATTTTTCTTTTCTTTCTGAAAATAGAAGAGAATCCAGGATGCTTTTACTACCAAAAAGAGGTTGGCAAAGGATTATGAACAGCTAGCAATCTGGTATGGAGATACTGATCTGGACTCCATTACAGACAGTTCACAGAAGTCGGACAAGAAGAACGCATCCGATTCCGAGTGGGAGCTCCTGTAAATAAGACAGCTAATTCACTTCGTCTCGGCAATCAAACTTGTTTCCAGGTGGAGGAGAATCTTACATGCTGGAGATGAAGAGGAAGCTCGTCTGTTAATACCTACTCAAGATTAAGGTTCATCACTTTATCTATTGAAGTGCATAAGTTACCTTGGAAATTCCTAAATAAACGAGTTGCAAGAAATTTTGCACATATTTGCACTCTTTCTGGGCTATGAACCTTTGATACTTTAATTAATTTCATATCCTTGGTAAATAAAGCTGTCTTGTTTTATCTTTTTGGGAAAGATCTACTCTTTGTTTGACCTTTTGAACAGAACACTCGTGGACTTGTCGAGTTCAACAATTAGAAGCGCTTTTGGTGTTCGTTCTTCCCATCCAGACACTTGGACGATATCGCATTCCACGTTCGACCACTCTCAAGCTTACAGGCTCCCATTCTTTGCTCATGATGTCAATGAAATAGAAAGTGACAAACAGTAAGTCTTAACTTTGCATTTTGTGGCTCTGTCGTATACTTTTTATTGTCATCTGAACTTTTACTACAAAGATTAGCACCTGACTGCCATCATGTTGGAATGATTGTCTCTGTCTCTTCGTGTCGGGACAGCCTGGAACTGCTATGTAGTATAGTTTTACTTCTCATTGCTCCAATAAACAAAATTCAAACTCAAATCACATGACTTCGGGGATCTGGTCTTTTGAAGTGAAGAAGATCATCACTGTGTTTTTGCCAAACTAATGTGAAAGATTGTTGATTCAATGGTCTCATTCAGGATTCTGTTTTTGTATATCTTTATTAAAGTAGTGGACTAGCCATATCCTCTTGAGATTCTAAAATAGTGTAGCTTTACAGGAGCACGAGAATTACTGTAGGAGTTTGAAAAGGATTGTCTTTTGCCTATCTCCAAAGGCTGATATGCTGACATACTAGGGGATGAATTTGACTAAATCATAAGTTATTGTGAGTGTTTATGATGAAGCTCCCACTTAGATTAGTTTGGTTCTGATTGCCTACCTGGTATTCCCATGTAGTGGAAATCAGATAAGCAGCTGACATCAGTTTCTATCTCCCTTTGTAACTTTATCGGCTGGTTTTATCCATTTATTTCCGTAATAGCCATACTAGCACATATTATCCTCTTTGAGTTTTCCCTTTCGGACTTTCCCTAGGGAGAGGTTTTCACACTCCAACGTCCTCGCTGGCACTCATTCCCTTCTCCAATCGATGTGGGACCCCCTAATCCACCCCCTTCAGGACCTAGCATCCTTGCTGGCACACCATCTCGTGTCCATCCCCTTCGGGGCCTCCTCCCCAACCGATGTAGAATCTCAAAATCCATCCCCCTTCGGGGCCTAGTGTCTTTGCTGGCACTCATTTTTTTCTCCAATCGATGTGGGACCCCCAATCAACCCCCTTTTAGGGCCCAGCGTCCTTGCTGACACACCGTCTCATGTCTGCCCCCTTCGGGGCTCAACCTCCTCACTGACACATTGCTCAGTGTCTGGCTCTGATATCATTTGTAACAGCTCAAGTCCACCACTAGTCGATATTGTCCTGTTTGAAGTTTCCCTCAAAAATTTTAAAACGCGTCTACTAGGGAAAGGTTTTCATACTCTTATAAGGAATGTTTTATTCTTTTCACTCACGGTCACTCTGTACTCTTTCTTGCATTATCTATTGCCCCTTCCATTATATTGATAGCTTACCACTCTATTGTCTATCCATTTTCTCTCCTTTTCTCCTTGACCTCTATCCAGGTTGGATAGACATGATGATGGCATACCCTTCTTCTCAAGCCTGCTACCTCTTCTGCATATGAGAGAAGCACAAGTCTTACAACATGGGCCATGAGTGTTTATTGGGGGTTCCATGTCAAACAAGATGGCTGTAAAGAAAGAAGAGATGCTCTGAGTGGCTGTAAATGTCAATATTTGAGCCTCAAAACAAGATAAGATCTCCCCTCCCATGAAAAAATTGGTCACATCCACAAAAAAGTAGCTTCTGCTTTTTCTCAAAACCCTTCAGGATATGAAAAGACTGTAAGTTAATGATAATAATGAACATATAGTCATAGCTTATGCTTTTACTTGATCTATGTCATTAATATCATTAACACGAAAACGACAAGATCCAAACTTTGGGTTTGTTAATTAGTACGATGTCACGAGTGCCGAACAGATTAATGAACATGCTGCAACAACATTCCGTCGAAGATCAAGTAGAAACATAACCCGAAATTCACCAAAAAAAGGTATTGAAACGAAAAAACTTGTATCAAAATCACATGGTTGTAGTATAGTCAGATCAATCACTTTATAGTTGAGTTGGCCGATTTCACGCCTACCAAACAAACCCATTACCAAATGTTCAAGAACAAGAACATGACATATCTCGGTCATCTTCAAAAACATGCATGCTTTTTCTTTTATGGAGATCTTTTTCAATCACGCGTTCATTTCAATAGGCTCCAATATAAACGAGGTAAAAATTCAAAGGGATGCCTTGAACTTTTAGGTTACGTAAATGACTTGTAAAAATGTTTTCAAAGATATATCAACTTCGTGTCTTAGATGTATCCTCGAAGTGTCGTGTCGAGTTTTACGTAGTTATTATTTTTTTTTTTAGTAGTAATTAAAGATTTAATCGGGACAAAATCTGGAAGCAGATCTTTATCAACTTTTGTTTAACAACTAATTAAGCACTTAAATGTGGAATTAAAGGCATCCTTTTCTTTCTATTATGTCAATCATATTCTACTTTTTTTTTTTTTTTAATTATCATATTTATATTTATCCATTTACTATGCCGACATATTTCATTTGTAAATTATTTAGTTTTATATTTTTTTTATTTATATTTTTGAAAAGTGTTTTAATAAACGAAGTCCAGATTTGAAAACTAAAAAAGATTTAAAATTTGATTAAGATTTGCAGCGTTAAAGGGGTCGGGTGAGAAAACAAACACAATTTTCAAAAATTAAACGATCATTTATTCTCTGAGTGAATTAAAAGAAATATTATTATAACAGTCCAAATTCATTGTTCGCTTTGACCCTTTACGTATTTCCGTTAGTCTTACGATTTGAAAACACATCTACTAGTAAGAAGTTTTCACACCCTTGTAAAGAATGTTTTGTTCCCCTATTCAATCGACGTGGGATCTCACAATTCACTCCTTCTATTAGGGTCAGCATTAGATCTTACAAATCCACCCTTATTTGGGTCTAGCCTCCTCACTAGCACATCACCTGGTGTTTGCCTTTGATACCATTTGTAATAGTACAAGCACACCACTACATATATTATCCACTTTGACCCGTATCGTATTAGTCTCACGGCTTTAAAACGCGTAATGTTAGAGAGAAGTTTCCACACCTTTGTAATCTTATAAAAAATATCTTATAAAAATGTCGCGTTTTAAAACCGTAAGGCTGACAACTATACATGACCGGCTATTACAATTATTTTCTCGTTCGGCCTCTTAAAATGAAAAATGAAAAAAAGAAAAAAGAAAAGTATAGGATAATGTGAAAAGAAAGGCACTTTGAAAAGGAAAGAGAAGAAAATGGACATAAATTTTATACTTTGCCCACTTGAGAAGAAATAAAAAGATATAAATTAACCGACTTAGATTTTAGGCCTCAAATCCTATTATTTATTAAGTTTAAACCCTCTTTCCTTTTGGTGGGCTCTCGCATGATCGATATCTTTCGATCCCACGTTGATCGAAGAGAAAAACGAATGCTAGCAAAGATGTCGGGCCTCGAAGAGCAGTAGATTGTGAGATCCCACCTCGATTGAAAAGGAAAATGAAGAATTCTTGAAATCGTAAGGGAAAAACTCAAAAACAACAATATCTACTGGTGATAGACTTAAGTGCATACGTGACACCCTGTATAACAATCGATCGGTAAAAATTGATTATATAAGTGATTTTCTTTTACATGTGATCAAACGCGGAAAGTTCAAATAAGATGTACTCAGAACCAATAAAAATGTGACACGTCGATAAATTTTCTTTCCAAAGACGGGAAAGACAAAAGCTTTATAACGTTTTATCAAACACCCATATGTTGGCCATGGCCTATTAAAAAAAAGTTGACCATGGTGAAGGCTTTATCGAGTGGCCAAACCATATGATATCATAATCTTTATAGAAAATATATACTTTTGAACATAAACATTAATCATTCACCACTATACGTGGGAAAGTCATATTCTCAAAATTCTTTTGCGCGAAATTGAGGAAAGCATTAACCGTCGGTATCAGCATAGCTCAGCCAACAGTACCACCGAAAAAAACGTATATACTATTATTATTATTTCGTCAAAGTCAAAACTTTAGTTTTATATCCAAAGGATAACAATGGTAAGAAAAAGAAATCCATTATCTTCTTTACAAAAAGGCAAAGGAAATTATAAAAAATCATCATTATCATATGGAACCAAAAAAAACACATAAATTCTTTGAATTTGCACAATGGGTTTGCAAACAAAATGAAAATGAAAGGCCAATTCACTTTTTCTCTTTCGGCTCGCCACAATTATTGGTTGAGTTTCGAGAATCGAGTAAACTGTACTTTTTCGACTCACAAAATGAAGTTACGAGAGAAAATAAGAGGAATAATAATGTGGTAATTATAGAATTGTATAATATCGCTCGTTCTCTACAAAACCCACAATTTATTCTCTCTCAATTCACAACCAAAATCAAACGTAAAAACTCGAGCATAGCTTAACTGATAAAAACAATGACTATTGTCACCCAAAAGTTAATGTTTTGATTCCTCTCTCAACTGATGTTTCGTTCAATGATGGCGTGGATCAGGTCCTCCGGGGCTGAGTCTTTTGGACACGAAATGTCGTCCAAGCTTCTCTTTTTCTTCGACGATAACCTTCAAGAGTTCTTTGACGTTCTTTACAAAGATCTCGTTTTTCGTATTCGCCAAAGAAGAGAAAGACAAAGAAGAAGAAGAAGAAGAAGAAGGCAAGCGGCTTTCACAAATGGAGGAAGAACACAAGAACAATATGAGCACAAGGCAAAAGAACTTATGATAATAAGCCATTAAAGAGAGTTGTTGAGGTGTTTTGGTTGGATGTTCCAATACTTATAGGCTTATCTATGTGTGTGTGTGTATATATATATATATATATATATATATATATACACTCATAAGGAAGATAAGTCAAGATGTGACGGAAGAGCTGTATTTTATTTTAATAATAACATAATAAAAGTCAGTGCCTTTCCTATCTAAAAAGCATGTTTAAATGCTGG